GTCCAACGTGAAGGTGTGCAAGGCCTGAGTAGGCGCAGTACCAGGGAGAGTACCAGAATCACTAGCACCTAGAGCAGCCGCCGCTATACCTGGGTTAGGTGGCACGCACCGGTAACAGTCACCCTCAGCACTAGCAGACAAAGCATACATAGCAGAAAGAATAGCATCATAGTCTAGGTCAAAGATAGCAACTCCAGACCTAAGCAAATCTGCCCAGCGAGGGCACTTGACCTCGTCACCAAACTCAGTACGCCAGGCGTCGTCGAGGCGGGAGAAGCAGCGGTGCTGAGTGTGAAGCTTCCCGCATGTCTGACCAGCACGGACACCCGTGCGAATGACATACGGGCAGCTCTCACTACCCCCAGACTTCCCACGCTGAAACAACCACTCACGGAGCTGCTGGGGCGTTTGGGTCTCGCTCCGACGCTGCTGCTGCTGCCGCTGGCCACCACCAGGGCCTCCACGCCGAGGTCCAGTCCTACCGCCACCAGTCCCACCGCCTCCACTGCCGCCACTCCCACCGCTGCCTCCACCGCCACCACCAGAGCCCCCACTCCCGCCACCAGTCCCACCGCCGCCACCACCTCCACGGCCTCCACCACCTCCACTGCTGCCCCCACCACCACTCCCGTTGCCACCTCCACCACCACCGCTGCCACCTCCACCACCCCTGCCGCCCTTGCCCTTGCTGCTGCGGCGCTTCGCACTAGTAGAAGCAGCCCTGATGTCCTCAGCAACAGAGATGTCTGCAGCAGCAGCAGAGGCGTAGGAGGGGGCAAGGGGGGAGGGGGAGCACCCCTCAAAGAAGGGCGGGCGCGGAGTGCCACGAGCAGCACCTATAGCAGCTGCACTAGTCTCAGCTGCGAGGAGATGCTGCTCGAGGAGGTCAACAGTGAGGGAGGTGGGGTCAAGGGAGAGAAAGTTGTCCCTGACAGAGCGAAGAGAGTCAGGGAGGCAAGAGACTATGAAGTAGAAGGTGATGAACATCGGGGGCTGGTTCATGTTTAGGAACTCAGCAGGGACGGTAGCGAGCGTCGCTAGTGCGCAGGTGGGAAACCAGGTCCTCTACTGTGGCAAAAGCTGACAGCTCGGGGAACAGGTAGGTTAGTAGCAGTCGGCCTAGCGCAGCAGTGGCAGGCGAGGAGTAGCGAGCGACTACAGCGTCGTACAGGGCCTGTGCTGTCCTGTGCTGTCCGATGTGAGCGCATTCGGCTAACGGCAGGTGGTTTCGAATGGCTAAGCGGGCAGCAGCGTCGCGAGTAAGCCACTGTGAGCGAGTTGCACTGTCAGCTGTGGCGGGAGGGGCGGTAGCGGCACCTGACGCGAGGTCAAACAGCGACACACTGTCCTTAGAACCGCTGAGTAGGTACAGCTACAGGTCGTTGAGCCACGTGTCAAACTGATCCGGTCTGCTTTCATGATCGAACGCGAGAACTCAAAGCGAAGCCATAGTGGCGCAGCACGCAGGAGCAGCAGTAGCAGCAGCAGTAGCAGTAGCAGCAGCAGGAACAGTAGTAGCAGTAGTAGCAGTAGTAGTAGCAGTAGTAGTAGCAGCAGAGGGGCCGAGGGGCCGGAGGCCTAGGGGCGTCGGGCCGTCGGGCAAGGAACGAAGGGGGTGGGGGGAGCTGAGGGGCCGGGGGCCTAGGGGCGTGGGGCCGCGGGGCCAGGAGAGAAGGTGCCGAGGGGCCGGGGGCCTAGGGGCGTCGGGCCGCGGGGCCAGGACAGAAGGGGCCGAGGGGCCGGGGGCCTAGGGGCGTCGAGTCGTGGGGCCAGGAGAGAAGGGGCCGAGGGGCCGGGGGCCTAGGGGCGTCGGGCCGCGGGGCCAAGTGAGAAGGTGCCGAGGGCCGGGGGCCTAGGGCGACAGGGCCTCGGGGCCAGGAACAAAGGGGCCGGGGGCCGAGGGGCCGGGGGCCGAGGGGCCGGGGGCCTAGGGGCGTCGGGCCGCGGGGCCATGAGAGAAGGGGCCGAGGGGCCGGGGGCCTAGGGGCGTCGGGCCGCGGGGCCAAGTGAGAAGGGGCTGAGGGGCCGGGGGCCTAGGGCGACGGGGCCGCGGGGCCAGGAACAAAGGGGCCGGGGGCCGAGGGACCGGGGGCCTAGGGCGACGAGAGGGGCCGCGGGGCGACGGGGCCTAGGGCGACGGGGGCCGTGGGGCGACTGGTCGTGGGCGACGGGGGGGCGCGGGGCCTAGGCTAGGGGCGACGGGGCGACGGGCCACGGGGCCTGGGCCTAGGCTTGGGGTGACGGGTCGCGAGGGGCCGTGGGGCCGAGGGGCCTAGGCTAGGGGCGACAGGCGACGGGCCGCGGGGCTTGGGCCTAGGCTAGGGGCGACGGGTCGCGACGGGCGACGGGCCTAGGGCGACGGGTCGGGGGTCGACGGGCCGGGGCAACGGGCCGGGGCGACGGGTTGCAACGGGCGACAGGTCGCGACGGGCGACGGGGGTCGCGACGGGCGACGGGCGACGGGCGACAGGGGTCGCGACGAGCGACGGGCGACGGGGGTCGCGACGGTCGACGGGCGACGGGGGGCCGGGCTAGGGGCGACGGGCGACGCCAAGGGGCGACGGGGCGACGGGCCGCGGGGCCTGGGCCTAGGCTCGGGGCGACGGGTCGCGAGGGGCCATGGGGCCGAGGGGCCTAGGCTAGGGGCGACGGGCGACGGGCCGCGGGGCCTGGGCCTAGGCTAGGGGTGACGGGTCGCAAGGGGCCGTGGGGCCGGGGCCTAGGCTAGGGGCGACGGGCGACGGGCCGGGGCCTAGGGGCCTACGGGTCGCGACAGGAAGTAGGGGCAGCACGATGGCTGCAGAGGGCTGCTAGCGGGGTAGCGCTGTGGTGGGCCCAAGGAGAAAAAACCGGTCCTAGCGGAGGACCTGCTCTAAAACCATGTCAGAATAATGAACGAGAATGAATGAACTAGCAAAGAGTTGGGTACAAGTACTAACCCTAATTGGGTTGTACCCCTTATGGGCTACCCCACTACAGCCTACACAATGTAAGCTATATATAAGTTTGACAACTACAGCAAGACCCTTTATAGTCACAGGGCATGCATACACGCATACATACCAAAAGAAAGGGACACACATACAAACGAAGCACTCTCAAAGTGCAAACACGCACCGCACCAGCCATGGATAGGCCATGGCACCATCCCCATCATGGAGTGTCTAGGTCTCACTCCCCTCGCTCAAGAGCCTCACCTGCCCTACAGCCTCAAAGCAACGGCTGAAGGCGGGGAAATGCAACGCCTTGGTAAGGTAGTCAGCCGGTTGCTCGCTCGTAGGGATGTACTGCAGCTGCAGCTTCCTGCGCTTGACCATGTGCTGCAGCCACATGTGGCGACGCTCCATGTGCTTGAGGCTCCCCTTGAGACCCATGCCACCTGCCACTGTAATGGCGGAGGAGTTATCCACAAAGAGAGTAGTGGGCTCCTCACTCCTCAGCAGTTGAAATTCTGCGAGCAGGAAGCGCAGCCTACGCGCCTCCTTCCCAGCTTCCACAGCAGCAACGTACTCAGACTCAGTGGAGGAGAGGGTGGCGCAATGAATCCTCTGGCTCGCCCAAGAGACAGCAGCACCTCCGAGCACGAAGACATAGCCACCAGTGCTGGTCCTGTTCAGCTTGTCCCCCGCATCATTAGCATCGGCGTAGCCCTCCAGCTCCAAGGACTCCGGCTCACCACCAAACTCCAGCGCCACATCCCTGCTCCCCACCAAGTACGCCAAGCACCGGTCCAACTCCTTCCGGTGCTGATCACTCCGCACATTCTGGCCCGACCCCAACTTGCTGCAGGCAAACGAGATGTCGGGACGGGTGGTACAGGCCGCGAACTGCAAGGATCCCACCTTCTGCCTGTACTCCTCCTCCTGGCGAGATTGCCATCCCACATCCTCGAAGGTCTGCACACTGAAAGGGTCAGAAGAAAGAGGGGTGCGAGGCACTCGCAGCGGCTGCTCCCCGTCAAAGAAGTGCCTATGGACCTTGTCCACATAGGCCTCCTGGTGCAGCCACACCCTCCTCGTAGGCCTGTCCCGAATCAGCTGCAACCCTAGATATTTCTCCACAGGGCTAATCTCCCACAGCTGAAATGCACTTTGCAACAGCTCACGCAGCTCCCCCAGCATGCCCTGACTGCGGCTGGCAGCAAGCAAATCATCCACATACACCAGCATCCAGCACATCTCCCCCTCAGCATCACTCTTGAAATACAGAGCCTCATCCACCTGGCTCTTCTTCCATCCAGCCCCAAGCAGCATCCCATCCAAGGCCTCATACCACAACATCGGGCTCTGCTTGAGCCCATACAGGCTCTTCACCAACTTACAGACACGAGGAGTCCCATCCTTGCAGTAGCTTGGCGGCTCCGTGTAAAGGTCTCGGTCCAGCACGCCATGGAGGAACGCGTTCTTCACATCCAGCTGCATCAGGTCTAAATCGAGTGCAGCTGCGATCGCCAAAAGCACACGCGCCGTCACATAGCTTCCCACAGGGGCGTACGTCTCCTCATAGTCCACCCCTACCACCTGCGTGAACCCCTTCACCACCAGCCTCGCCTTCTCACGCTCCACTATTCCATCCGGTTGGAACTTGGTGTTCAAAATCCTGCGGTTCTTAATCACATTCACCCCTGGAGGACGCGGAACCAACTCCCACATCCCCTGCTCAATCAAGCTCCGCATCTCTGTGTCCATCGCCTCCTTCACCTTGTCGCCCTTCCAGCAGCCCAAGGCCTCCTTCACTGTCATCTTAGCTATATCCCACTGCCTCTCAGGGTCGGCCACCACATCTGGGTCCAGGTCCGTCCACTCCTCGTCCTCCTCCTCGTCATCCAAACCTGCTGGCTCAATCACTACTGCCCAAGCATACTTAACTGGCGGGACACCACGAGTGATGCGAGTGGAGCGACGCAGCGGCGGTGCAGTGATCGTCCCAGAAACCAGCACACGACCACCATCTCTAATTCCCCACATCTCCTGCTCCCCTGTCTGCGGCTCCCCTGTCTGCTACTCCCCAATCTGCTCCTCCCCTATTTGCTGCTCCCCAATCTGCTGCTCCCCTGTCTGCTGCTCCCCTGTCTCCTGTCCCCCACTCTGCTGCACTCCATCCATGCTGCTTTCGTCCTGCAGCTGCTCAGTGACAAGGCGCTGCCCGTCGGTGATCATCACAGACGGCGACACCACTGTCTCCCCCTCACCAACGGGCGGCGCCGTGGAAGACAAAGAGGAGGGTGGGGCAGGTGCAGGAAGGATGGAGGGTGGAAGAGGAGAGGGAATAACAGGAGGAGGAGGGGTAGCCAAGGGGGGTGAGGATGGAGGAGGCGCGGTAGGAGGAACCACACGAGGGTAACACTGTAGGAGGTTGGGGGTGGGGACTGAGGTAGGGACATAGGGCATAGCAGGAGGTGCGACCACTTCCTCCTCCTCCACCTCCTCCTCAAGAGTGCCTGTGAAGAGTGAAGGAAGGGGCTCATAGGGCATCGGACGCCCCCCATGCTCCTGCTGATGCGAAGCCTTCCATCGTGCCAAGGACATGGTCTCATAGAAAACTGCTTCCATAGTGGTGATGAGGCGGTTGGACTCCAAGTCCAGCACCAGCCAGCCCTTGCTCGCTGCTGACACCCCCAAGTGCAACCCCCAGCGAGCCTTAGGCGCCAGCTTCCCCCCGCGCTGCGACAGCGGCACCATATACTGCAGCATGCAGCCCCAAACACACACCATACTGACATCGGGTTTGCGTCGGAAGGCGAGCTCGTACGGCGTCAGACCAGAGGGCAGCGAGGCGTGCTCCACGCGGGTGCGCACCCAGACGGCCTGCGACAGCGCCAGGTGCCACCAGTGATGCTGCACACCCATGTGCAACAGCAACATCCGAACCGCCTCCACAATGCTGCACATCTCCCTCTCGGCCATCCCGTTCTGCTCCGGCGTGTACGGACACGTGAGGTCGTGGATGATCCCCTTCTTGTCGAGGAAGAGCGTGAAGTCGTGTCCCAAGAACTCGCCACCCCGATCAGTGTGCAGCGCCTTCACTGTGGTCTTACACTGCCACTCTGCCATCGGGAGCCACTTCTGGAATGCCGCCAGTGCATCACTCTTCTTGGCCAAAGGGTAGGCCCAGACGTACCGCGTCTTGCGATCCTTCAGCACCAAAAATTAGCGGCTGCCGTCCTTAGTTGCTTCACGAAAAGGGCCACACAGGTCAGCATGCACCACTCCAAGCAGCTCATCCTCCTCCTCTCCCATAGAAGGAAAGGTATGACGGGTGATCTTTCCCCAAACACAAGAGACGCATGGCATGTCTGACTTGCCCCTCTTCTCCAACTCCAAGCTCGTCACTGACCCGTGAGCCGCAGTACGCTCTATGACGTCAAAAACGACGTGTGTGAGGCGCGCATGCCACTTGTCCACCTTAGATCGCACGCCCGTCGCCAAAGTGTGCAGGGCCACCGTTTCACCCTCCTGCTGCTGCGTCGAGCATGGCTGGAAGTTCGTGCAAAGGACACGTCCCTTGAACTCCGCACGACCAAGGAGCGACCCATCTGGCGCGCACAGCAGAGTCACGTCCTCGGCATCCAGCAGCTGCACGCCACTATCACGCAGCTGCCCAGCAGAAAGAAGACTCGCCTGCACTCTAGGTACGTACAACACGTCCGGCACCAAGACACGCCTGCCCCTGTCTCCAAGGAGAGCGACTGTGCCTTGCCCGTGCACCTCCTGAGGAGCGCCGTTGAAGCCGATAACATGTTTGATACCGCCGCCACTGCTCATCTCCACAAAGGCAGAGCGATCTCCCATAAGATGGTGGGAGCATCCGCTATCAAGTAGCACGGCGCTCGGGTTTGCCTTCACAATAGCTGCAACAGCCTGTAAGCCCTCCCCGGCCTCAGGCTCCAGCATGACGGGAGGAGGATGCTCTATAACGGGCTTCACCATCGCACATGATGACTGCCCGCTCCCCTTAGAGCCGTCACCCCCCTTGCCACTCGCACTGCTGCCTCTAGAACCCTCTCCACCCTTGTCTGCCTCTTTATCTGCCCGCTGCCGATAGTACTTAGCGATATGCCCCGGCTGCCCACACACGTAGCAATTCCCCTTGAACCCTCCTTTTCCCCCCTTTGACTGGCCATCCTTAGCCCCTTTTCACTTCTCCCCTCCCTCGCCGAACCCACCCCCATGCTTAGGCTGGTGCTGCTGTGCTGTAGTGGGAGGGGAAGGGGATGAAGTCTGCTGGAATTGGGGCTTACCCTTCTTGGTAAACACTTGGTTAGCCTAGGGAAGAAATTGGTCCTTCCGTCCCTCCGCCGCCAGCGTACACTCCTCCTCGATGATGTAGCTAGCGAGGGTGTCCTCGTCCAGCTCCTTGCGCGCCTGCGGCAGTTTCAACATCATGCGTAAGAGGTTATACTGCTGCGGCAACCCCTTCACGACGTGAGTAATGTACGTTGCCTGTGAATAATCTACGCCGGCCATCCTCAGGTTCACTAGGATCTGTTGCGGACTCGTGCTCTCCCATCTCGAGGTTAGTGAGCGCCTGCTCTAACTTCCCTATGTACAGGTCGTCCTTCGCCATATACGTGCGCATAATAAACTGCCACGCCTGAAAGCCGACATCTACCTTCATGCGACACGCCTTAAGGGCGATCTGTACGGTTGGGGAGCAGCATCAGGAAATCGTGGTGAACGTCAGTAACTGCATTGCGTGAAACTGTGTGACAAGCGCAACTGCATGTGCTGGGGGAGCAGGTGTGGTACCGTCGATGAATCGCTTAAGCTGGGCGATCTCAAGCTGAGGCTCGATAGATTCTACCCACATTGACAGGTCGTAACGTCCTTCTAATGGCCTAGGTACGACGATCTTGTCTGGAGTGAATTTGAAGAAACTATAGTTGGGGGCTATTCCCTCGTCCCTCGTCATCGATCCAATTGGGGTAACGCCCGGCATAGCCTCACTATCGTACTCCTCCGCATTCCCTCCTCTAGCAACGCTCCATCGTCCTACATTCGCACGCTCTCGTGACACCGCCGCTCGATGAACACGCTCCTGTACACCGCCGACGCTAGCCGTACTAAACCGAGTCGGTCCTTGCAGGACCCCACGCGACATCAACCCATCAAGCTCCTCGTCATCGCTATTTCCGCCATCGACAGCCATATCCCACGCACTAGTACCTCCCGCAGCTTGCTCAACATTCTCTAGACGTGGCGAGGGATGATCGCGACGCCGACGAGCGCGTAATCCCTCCTGCATGAGCTCGTACTCGATGTCACTAAGCTCACCACGAGAATGGCGGGCTACGAGATCCTCCTCTAATGCGCGAATATTGCCGGCCTCAACGTTCGCCTCCTCCGTACTCATCCTCTACGACGTCTCTATAAGGTACCACAAATTAAAATAAATTGTCCCTTCCTTAAATCCCTCGTCTCGGGGTCACCTCACAAGGGTCCTCAGACGAGTGGTAATGAATTACCAAATGCCCTATCCTTGGGTCCGAGAGCGTAACTGGAGGGAAATTAAGAGAGGTTTAACTTAAATTAATAAGCGCCCTTCACTAACGCCACACGCCAAGGCGAGTATACTAACGAACGTCGACGGAAAGCTCTGCGTGTTCGTTCCACGCTCACCGCACCATGAAGGAATAATATGGAGAGCGTAGCGATAGCGAGAGAGTTTCTGATATGAGAGTGGTGTTGCGCCAGCAACTCGGTAGCGTTTCTGTAGCGTTCGTCTCCAAGGACTTAGTGAGAATTCAAGTAGCAATTGGACTTCACAAGAAATGTAATATGATCCATGAATACAAAAGCAAACACACATGCAAATATAGGCAAGCAAGAGTCAGCACAAATGTTGCGTGGCGCTTCGGTGTAACCCAACCCCACGAAAGTGGTGTGCGGGTGGGTGAACGGCGCGCCCCGCCAAACTTCCATCCAACTCAGCAGCGAAATGCATTCCGTGCACGCCACTCCAGCCAACACTGCAAGGAGTGGCGTGACTCTCAAAGAAGCACACCTAACTCACGCCACCCTGCACCGATTCTTATGCAGCTGCTAGCAAGTCGCACCCGGTCAATACGAAAACGTCATTACACCGTCACGTCGGTGCTCAACAGCTAGGAGTCTTGGTCGTTAGTCGCCATCTTGCCGAGTCAAGGTTCCATAGGCGGGTTCACGTGAACCAGCAGAGCATAGCAGAGTAACGTCCATTTTGATTTTCATGCATGCTTGGCCATTGATTTGAGGGCTCACCTACTAAAAGGCTAGCTCAAGTAAACAAATGCAACCAGAAACGAAATATCACAGCAGCAGATACAAAGGCAATGACAAGAGAAATAACCACCACCAATCAAACTCTCCTCCTCCACAAATAGGTTTCAGCACACAGCTAAGCGGAATGGTTGAACTATCATCCAGCCCCAATCTGAAAATCCCAACCAGCCCTGTAAGCATCCTAAACCATAACACGACCGCCAGTCCACTTCACCAACCCCTCAAGAAAATCGCATCCTGTGACGTCGTACCGTATTCCCCTTGGCGTCACCTTCAAGCTCTGCCAAATCTGCTTACTATTACGGGTACCACTGCCTTCCGCCTCCATACAGGCGGCGGCTGTACATTTTAGGGGGAGACCAGGGGCGCCCACTTCCATACAAGCGGCGGCTATACATCTTGGGAGGGGACCAGGGGCGCCCGCTTCCCCACAGGCGGCGGCTCATCTTGGTCTTTCCGCCCGCCAGTGCGCCGTTGCGGGAGGATTCAATCAGTTGCGGGCGCTCTACTAAGTCGCGCAGCTTCACTCCGCCGCTGCTGTGCGGCGCGCGAGGCTCCATCGCGCGCAGCATCGTTCCACTAGTAGTGAAGTCGGCGCAGTAACCGTAGCTTTCGGCATAGGCATATTCATTAGACCAGTACGGGGTAGTCCCGTCGAAGCCACCCCCGTTACACTGCGGGTAACCAGATTCACCACAGTCAAAATTCCCCGGGCATTGCAGCTGTTTGATTCCCTCCTCGATATAATGCGTGTCGGCCTGTTGGCCGCTGCTGTACTCGTAACCGGAGAGGTCTATATCGCAGCAACGCGCGAGCATGTTCACTTTCCACTTGCAATCCTGGCAGTAAAGCGCGCCGGCCTGCACGAGCGCGCATTTATTCGAGTAGTCCGGGGAGTATCCGCCGCCGTAGAGACACGTGCGACGCCACCCGTTTCCATTGCAGAAGCTCAGGACCGCAACGGCCGCGTTTGCCTCGTTTGCGCAGTCCAAGTCGTACGCCCTCACCGGAGCGAGCAGGAGAAGAAGGCAGGAGAGGAGGGGAGTCGCAAGGAGTTTCCGGAGAAACGCGGGAGGAGTGTTTCCGGCCGCCATCGGCGCTGGCGACACGTCGTCACTACTAGCTGACGAATACCTAAAGAAAGTAAAAACGAACTAACGAAAGCTGTTATTTCTAATTACTCGTCTTAAATTTTGTTTTTTAAGACGTTTCGATTTCAATAACGAAGGACGAAGAGTTCCGTAGAGGCGCTGAAGACAGCTGACGAATATTGTGCTTTGAAGAATGTGGCTCTGGATAACTGTGAAAGTAAGCAAGCTCGGAATTGATGAGGCACGCAGCCTGGGACGAACTAAATACAGGCGAGGGAGCGGGGGGAATCTGCGGAGGGAGATAGCGGGGGGAAGGGGGGGGTGCGCGGGGAGTGATGCAGTGAAGCCAGAGGTAGGCACTGAATCCCGCTGATGTGTTTTCCTGGGGAGGAATGCGATAATGCGGGTGAGTTGTCGGGACAGCAATGCAAGGGGTTCGAATCGCGCCGAGTCACCAAGTTCGACGTGCGACGCCACGCACGCATTTCGCGAGTTTCTTCCGAGTCTTGCTGTGCCCTTGCTTTTCGCAAGCCTGTTTCGCGCGTTTCTTACCGAGTTGGTCGGAGGGGTCATAAGGACTGGACCTTCATGCTGCTCTGTTACGACGTGAATGGCTGGCGAAGAGGTCACTCAAGTTTGCGATGATATTTTACTCTGCTGGCAATTTCGCAACTTACGTTGACTTCATTGAGAGAAAATAACATGCATTCAGCACTCTACAACCGAACTCGCTAGAACAGGGAGATAATTATAAGCCCTCATAAAACAATCACAGCAACTCTCTTCAACCTGTGGTGAAAGGAAGCTAGTTATAGGACAGTGATGCCGTAAAATAGCTGGACAGGCACATGCCTCATAAATACAGGTACTTTCAAGTTCGACTCCCAAACATACCGAATCAGAAACGTATAAATTATGTACACATTAAAAGGGATTAAAGCCAATATTTCAGGGTCTGCACCGCACGTGATAGGGGAAATCAAAAGATTTAAAGCCACCTTACCAATACCTAGAGACACAATAAGGCAGAAGCATGAAGAAGTTCAGCCATGGTAAATACAGTTGTCCATCTGCCACTACACCACCGCGCCTGTACAGCTGGAGCCGCTGCCAGCTGTACACCTGTAAGGGGACAATAACGGAGAGACAAACAAGTGTCAAGGAAAAAAAAACACACACACACAAGTTTTGAGACGACTCAAAAAGGGGTGTGAAAAGGGAAAGTACAACAAACTAGTGTCAAGGGCAAAGACGGAACATAAGCCACTGACCCGTAGCAGTGCGCTGCCGTGGCTATGGGGCGATCCACAAGCTCCTCCAGTGATTGGATGTCAAAGACAGAGCGAAGGGGGGGAGAGGAGGGAGGTGCACGTTCCAACCAGTCACTGGCTCTCTGTTAGAAGAGGCATAATGGTGGCTACTCACTCACCCGTAGCAGTGTGCTGCCGTGGCTATGGGGCGATCCACAAGCTCGTCCAGTGATTGGATGTCAAAGACAGAGCGAGGAGAGGGAGGAGGGGGAGGGTAGAGGATCATGCTGCAAACACTCACAGACTCAGAGCTACAAGAGTCAGAACAACACCCACTCACCCGTAGCAGTGCGCTGCCGTGGCTATGGGGCGATCCACAAGCTCGTCCAGTGATTGGATGTCAAAGACAGAGCGAGGAGAGGGAGGAGGGGGAGGGTAGAGGATCATGCTGCAAACACTCACAGACTCAGAGTTACAAGAGTCAGAACAACACCCACTCACCCGTAGCAGTGCGCTGCCGTGGCTATGGGGCGATCCACAAGCTCGTCCAGTGATTGGATGTCAAAGACAGAGCGAGGCGGGGGAGAAGGATCAGAGGCGAATGGGGAGTCGGTTGCACTGGATGGCTTGGGGGGAAGGCTGAGGGCGAGCTGCTGGTTAAAGTCACAGTCGAAGAGGGCGCCCTGCCTGGAATGTGTGGGGAAGAAGGAAAAAACAAGAGCAGAAGGGAGAGGCGAGAGTTTGTTGCGTGGATGGTTTGGAGAGGCGAGGCGGGGGAGGAGGAGCAGAGGCGAGAGGGGAGTCTGATGCACTAAATGGTTTGGGGGGAAAGCCAAGGGCGAGCTGCTGGTTGAAATCGCAGTCGAAGAGAGCGCCTTGCCTGCAAGGGAATACCAAATAGGAGGGGAGAGGAGAGAAGAGAAGATAGGAGGAGAAGAGAGGGGACGGCTGGTTGCAGTGCATGTTTTGAGGGGAAGGACGAGGGCATTGGTTGCTGCTGGTTGAAGTCACAGTTGAAGAGAGTGCCTTGTCTGGAGTGTGTGGGTGGTGGAGGAGAGAAGGGGAAACAAGAGGCGAGGCGAGGGGAGAGTTGGTTGTACTAGATGATTTGGAAGGAAGGCCGAGGGCGAGGGCGAGGGCGAGGGCAAGGGAGAGGGCGAGGTGCTGGTTGAAGTCACAGTCGAAGAGAGTGCCCTGCCTGAGGTGTGAGGGGGAAGAAGGGGAAACAAGAGGAGAGGGGCGCGTTTTGAGTCTACTCAAAACGAGAGGAGAGGGGCGGCCTGCCCGAATTACACCAGCTTCTTCCTCCCCCTTTCCCCCCTCCCCCCCCCCCCCCCCCCCCCCTCCCCCCTCCCTCTTCCCCCCCAATCTTCCACCCCCTTCTTCCTCCCCTCTCTTCCCCCCACTCTTTCCCCCCCCTCTTCGCCCCCCCTCTTCCCCCCCCCTCTTTCCCCCCCCTCCTTCCCCCCCCTCTTTCCCCCCCCTCTTTCCCCCCCCTCTTTCCCCCCCCTCTTTCCCCCCCCTCTTCCCCCCCCCTCTTCCCCCCCCTCTCCCCTCCCCCTCCTTCACTCCTCTCCCACACACACCAGTCAATATTGATCAGGTTCTGACACATCACGTTGCCCACTGCTGCCAGCTTGACCACCGATTTAGCCTAACAGATGCTACCCCACACATGCATTACCACCCCCCTTTTTCCCCTTCCCCCCTCCCCCCTCCTCCCCCACGCACCAGTCAATGTTGATCAGGTTTCGGCACATCACGTTGCCCACTGCTGCCGGGTTGAAAGTAGAGACCTGTGTTGGTGAGGGGAGAGAGGCAGCAGAGAGAGTGGGAGGGAAGGGAAGGCAGCACAGGGGCACATTTGAGGAACAGCCATAAGGTTTCGGCACATCACGTTGCCCATTGCTGCCGGGTCGAAAGCAGAGACCTGTGTTGGTGAGGGGAGAGAGGCAGCAGAGAGAGTGGGAGGGAAGGGAAGGCAGCACAGGGGCACATTTGAGGAACAGCCATCAGGTTTCGGCACATCACGTTGCCCATTGCTGCCGGGTCGAAAGCAGAGACCTGTGTTGGTGAGGGGAGAGAGGCAGCAGAGAGAGTGGGAGGGAAGGGAAGGCAGCACAGGGGCACATTTGAGGAACAGCCATCAGGTTTCGGCGGAGAGAGGCAGCAGAGAGAGTGAGAGGGAGGCAGCAGAATGAAATGGGAGGCAGGCAGCAGAGGGAATGGGAGAGATGCAGTGGAGGAACACACAAGGCACAGACATCACATTGCCCACTGCTGCCGGGTTGAACGCAGAGATCTGCGTGGGTGAGGGGAGAGGCAGGCAGGGGAATGGAGGGAGGCAGCAGAGGGAGTAGGATAGATGTGTGCATGTATGCATGTATGCGTTTGTGCGTGCGCGCGCACATGTGTGTGTGTGTATGAATGTATGTATGTATGTATGTATGTATGTATGTATGTATGTATGTATGTATGTATGTATGTATGTATGTATGTATGTTTGTATGTATGTGACTGACTGTTATGCTTTCTGCATGCCAGGATGCATGCATGCATGCATGCCACCAGCATAGAACCAATACATGTACTCCATAAAAGCATCTCAACTAGAAGGCTTACCAGCAGCTGCATGTAGTCCTCAAGTTGGCCCTGCCTATGCAGAAACAATGCGAACACAATTGTACTCCATATAAGCAGCTCCTACACAAGGCTTACCAGCAGCTGCATGTAGTCCTCGAGTTGGCCCTGCCTATGCAGAAACGAAGCAAATCTGTGAAAGGATGTACCAACACACACACACACACACACACACACACACTCACACACACACACACACGCACACACATGGACAGAGAAACACGAAAAAAAAGGCTCTCAACACACACGCATGCACATGAAATGCATGAAATAAAAGCAGCAGCAATGCACGCCCAAGTCAGCACCCCCCCCTCTTGTCAGGCATGCTGTCAAGGTTTAGTGACTAGGCTGTTTTATTGAGGCGCCTCAAAACCCAAGTCAGCAACCCCCCCCCTCTTGTCAGGCATGTTGTCAAGGCTTAGTGACTAGGCTGTTGAGCATCAACCTCTGTTCGCCTCAACTCGCTGCTCACCGCTGCTCACCTCTGCACACCTCTCTTCACCCCAGTTCACCTCTGTTCACCACACACCTCTTGACAGGCATGTTAGTGATGGTGAACAGGCTGCTGAACGAAATGCTATGCTCGCTACCACCATCACGCCTCTCTGTACCTCAGTTCACCCCTGTGCACCACGCACCACTCACCACACACCACTTACCACACACCACTTACCACGCACCTCTGTACAGGCATGTTGGTGATGGAGAACAGGCTGTTGGGTAACATGCCCTGTTCACCCCTCTTCACCTCTCTTCACCTCTGTTCACCACCTAACTCTTTACACGCATGTTGGTGATGGTGAAGAGGCTGTTAAACGATATGCTATGCTCACCACCCATCACACCTCTGTTGACCTCCATTAACCTCTGTTCACCCCTGTTCACCACTCTCCACCCACCTCTTTATAGGCATGTTGGTGATGGTGAACAGGCTGCTGAGCAACCTACTCTGTTCGCCACCCAACATACACACCTCCGTTAACCTCTGTTCACCCCTGTTCACATCTCTTCACCACTGTTCACCCCTGTTCACCCCTGCTCACCCCTGTTCCCATCTCTTCACCTCTGTTCACCTCTGATCACCTCTGTGCACCACTCACCACCTACCTCTTGACGGGCAGGTTGGTGATGGTGAACAGGCTGCTGAACGATATGCCATAGCATGCCATCAGCTCGCTCTGAGAAGGGTATGGGTGGGTGGCGGGGTATGGAGGGGTATGGACGGGTTTGGAGGGGTTTGAAAAGGAATTTGGAGAGGGAGACCGTTGGCTGAAGGATATGCCATAGCATGCCATCAGCTAGCTCTGAGAAGGGTATGGATGGGTGGCCGGGTATGGAGGGGTATGGACGGGTTTGGAGGGGTTTGAAACAGAATTTGGAGAGGGAGACCGTTGGCTGAACGATATGCCATAGCATGCCATCAGCTCGCTCTGAGAAGGCCATGGAGGGGTGGAGAGACATGTAAAATCATGGGGATTTTGGAGGGGTTTGGAGGGGTATGGAGGGGTATGGAGGGGTATGGAGGGGTATGATGGGGTATGGAGGGGTATGGAGGGGTATGGTGGGGTATGGAGGGGTATGGAGGGGTTTGGAAGGGAAATGAAGCAATGGTATGGAGAGCTAGATAGTTAGTTGATCCCATCCCATCCCACCCCATCCCACCCCACCCCACCCCACCCCACCCCACCCAACCCCATCCCATCCCATCTCATTGCATCCCATCCCATCCCATCCCATTCCATCCCATCCCATCCCATTCCATTCCATCCCATCCCATCCCACCCCATCCCACCCCACCCCACCCCACCCCACCCCACCCCATCCCACCGCATCCCATCTCACCTTATATGCTTCCTCCAGCTTGCCTTGAGCAGGGGGGAGGAACGGCCCAACAGGGCTGTATACCAGGTCACAGGCCGAGGGCTATACCCCACGCACCTATTACTGCAGACTTGAACAACTTGATCAAATCTCCCATCTCACCTTGTATGCCTCCTCCAGTTTGCCTTGAGCAGGCGGCAGGAACGGGCCAACAGGGTTGTACACCAGGTCCAGCACCAGGCCTGAGCCTTCCTTGCCGTACCTGAAACGCAGGTTCAGCAAGGGAGGATGTTAGCGGAAGGACCAAGGTACAAGGGAATGGGGTAACAGTATCTATATAGAACGATTGAATAACGACAGACGTTGGACAAAATCCAGGTGAATTCAAAATAGCGTCTGAACTTGAGAGCATTCGCACACAATATCGATCCCACTGCACATCCAATTTTCACCTGGTTGCACCCACCCAGCAGCATCGCACCTCCACACTCGCCCCTGGGCTGTTACGCACACACACAATTCCGTTGCTGCCCACCGCATCCAACCACACCGCATCCAACCGGCAATCATCTCATCGCAGCACAGTCATGTCTGACTTTTGATCAAGGGACGTGATAGATAATAAGCTTAAAAAACCTACAAGTAGCCAGCACATAGCCTTACACTGCACTACCACACTCCTGAAAAAGAAAAGAAAAAATCGCCCTCAATCGCATGCATTGTACCGCACTGCATCTCACTCCACTACACCTACACCATTCCATGTAGTGCCTAAAAGTTGACTCATGCTGAGACCATAGAACCTTATAGCCAGAGCACACAGATAACCTTAATCCACACAAACTGCACCCCACTGCATCGCATTGCACCCCAGGCTGTTGCGCACCTGAAGCGCCTTGAAGCTTAAATCAAAGACTGGCACCCAGCAAACACTAAGACCGTACTGTTTCACCCCATTTCACAGCACTGCACCTTGCTGCACCGCACTGCATTCCACCACACCTACCCCAAACTATTAAGCAGCTGAAGCGCCTTGATGCTGAGGTCGAACACCCCCCCTCCCCTCTGATGTTGGGGGCATGGAGATGTTTAGGGGGGGATGTGGGAGAAAGAAAAAGGGGGGGAAAGGGGGAAACATGGGCTGAAGCGCCTGATGCTCAGTTTGAACATCCTCCCTCCCTTCTGATGCGCACACACGTCTTGAGCGAAGGGAATGGTGCGGGCTTGCCTGGGAGAATTAGGGGGGTGGGTTGGAAGGAGGGAATAAGGACCGAAGCACGTTGATGCGAAGGTCAAAGATCCCCTCTTTCTTCTGATGCTCAGACACACATTCAGAGAAATACGTGGATGGTGTGGGGGTACGTGGGAGAAATACGGGGGTGGGGTGGGGAGGAAGGAGGGAATAATGGCTGAAGCACGTTGATGCGGAGGTCGAACATTTCCCCTCCTCTCCGAAGCACTCGCACATGTATTAAGGAATGAGGTGACTTTTGAGTCAACTCAAAAGTCTCCCCGAAGCGCACGCACATGCATTGGAGAATGGGTATATGAGGAAGAGAGCGAATATGGAGTTGGATGGGAAGGGAGGAGGGGATAAGGCTGGAGCGCCATGATGCCCAGCCCAGGTCCCACTAAACCATAGTGATGCGAATATGGGAGTGGGATGTGACTATACCCCCCTCCGGACGAGTCACACATGTCCCCTGTCAGCCAGCCCCAGCCCCCCAACTGAAACAAGTAATTTTTTTAGGCGTCTCAAAGGCTTACTTGTTTCACATGGCTATTCAACTTCCGAGACGTCTCAAAAACTGAATTGTTTCACATGCCCAGCCAGGTCTCATAAGTCCCCCCTCCTGATGAGTCACGCACGTCCCCTGACAGCCAGCCCCATCTCCCCAACCCTGACAACAATAATGCTGAACATACCTGCTTGTTGACATTTTCAGCACAGTGGCATGAGAGTGATGCCGCCGCATGCACCTGATGAAGGTTTCCCACCCTGACCGACAGCCACCCCCCCACCCTGACAGCAACCAACCCAATGCAAGAAGAGCACACCTGCTTGTTGACATTATCAGCTGAATAGCACGGCAGCGATGCCACCACATGCACCTGATTGGCTGCCAGGAACTCTGCCAAGTCCTGCTCACAATGCATGCACAGACGCACACACGCACGTTCCCGCGCGCGCAGACACACACATGCATGCGTGCACAGATACACGCACATGCTCAAGCACACATGAAGATGAACAAACGCACGTGTTACTGCACAGACGCACGTGTTACTGCACAGACGCACGTGTTACTGCACAGACGCACGTGTTACTGCACAGACGCACGTGTTACTGCACAGACGCACGTGTTACTGCACAGACGCACGTGTTACTGCACAGACGCACGTGTTACTGCACAGACGCACGTGTTACTGCACAGACGCACGTGTTACTGCACAGACGCACGTGTTACTGCACAGACGCACGTGTTACTGCATAGACGCACGTGTTACTGCACAGACGCACGTGTTATTGCACAGACGCACGTGTTACTGCACAGACGCACGTGTTACTGCACAGACGCACGTGTTACTGCACAGACGCACGTGTTACTGCACAGACGCACGTGTTACTGCACAGACGCACGTGTTACTGCACAGACGCACGTGTTACTGCACAGACGCACGTGTTACTGCACAGACGCACGTGTTACTGCACAGACGCACGTGTTACTGCACAGACGCACACGCGCAGACACCACATTACCGTGCACACGCACCAACCCCACCAATCAGCCCCTCACGTAGCCTCTTGCCTAGTGTGTAGCTGACCAAGCGACCACTTTTGAGGTGCCTATGAAAGCAGCCCCTCACGTCATCTCGATTCCCCTCTGGCACCCCAAACAGCCCATGCAATCCCCTCTCACCACCACTGCTTCTCCCCTCGTCGGCTCCCCTATAAAACAAGCAGCCCTCCTACTCCCACCCCTCCTCCCATCCCTCCTCCCATCCCCCCTCCCATCCCTCCTCCCATCCCTCCTCCCATCCCTCCTCCCATCCCTCCTCCCATCCCTCCTCCCATCTTTCCTCCCTGTCCTCCTCCCATCCCACTTACTACACTTGCCTCACCCCGTCTCTGATCCATACTCCTTACCTCACCTCTTGCCCAGTTCGAACAGCACCTCTCCGCACCTAAATGCACTGGTACAGCTCCTCCCATCTCTCCTCACCTCTCCTCACCCCTTCTCACCTCACCTCTTGCCCAGGCTCAAACAGCACGGTCAAATTGCAGCGGTCAATAACCTCCTGGCATTCACGTCTCTCCTGGGGTTTTACAGAACCCTACGCAAATTAGCCAGTTTTTTCAATAACAACTGTCTTTCCATTGCTAAAATTTCTCCTACGCTGCTGCTCGCTGGAACATGTCTCAAGAATTGCAGCGGTCAATCACCTCCTGTCATTCACGCCTCTCCTCACCTCCTCAGGGCCTTACTCCCAACCTCTTCTCCTGCCCCCCTCTCCTCACCTCTTGCCCAGGCTCAAACAGCACGGTGAGGTTGCAGCGGTCAATCACCTCCTTGCCCATTCTGCGCGCCTCTGTCACCAGGTACCTGGCAATACAGTGCGGTGAGATGCAGTGGAGAGGGGTGACATTAGTGACATGTGGTTATTACAATTGCAGCAGTCCTTGCCCCTTCTCCGCGCCTCTGTCACCAGGTACCTGGTGGTACAGTGCAGTGCAATATGTTGGGGAGGGGTGGGACGGTAGCAGTGGCATGTGGGTGAGGTTGCAGCGGTCAATCACCTCCTTGTCCATTCTGCATGTTTCCGTGACCAGGTACCTGGTGGTACAGTGCGGTGTGATGCGGTGGAGAGGGGTGATAGTAGTGGCATTAGTGGCGAGTGGCTAGGGTTGCAGCGGTGAATCACCTTCTTGCCCACTCGACGGGCCTCTGTCACCTTGTACCTGGCGGTACAGCGCAGTGCCATGTGGTGGAAAGGGGTAGGGTAATGGGCATAACTGGCATGTGGGTGAGGTTGCAGCGGTCAATTACCTCCCTACCCATTCGACAGGCCTCCGTAACCCGGTACCTGGTGGTTCAGTGCGGTGCAATGTAGTGGAGAGGGATGGAATGGTGGCAGTGTGGCTGAGATTGCAGCGGTCACTCACCTCCTTGCCCATTCGATGTGCCCCACTGATCAATGAAAGTAATCTGAAAGACCTTATGAGTCGACTCAAAAATCGACCTTCTAAGGTTAAAACCCCCTGAAAAGCAACCTTATAGATCTGAAGTCACCTGAAAAGTCACAAAAACTACTTGAATGGTCACTTCAATTTCTCTACCAGCATTCTTACCCTGAGAGTTGTTGGCCGTCAGATAATCTGATGAAACCACCTGACCTGCGCACCTCTGTTGTTCTCACCTGAACTCAGGGTTAAGCTCAGGTGCTCCCCCTGTGAGGTCAACACAGCGCACACTTGGGCAGGCCGACACCAGCTGCACCTGCATGGGGGTCAACGGATTGGGGGGGAGAGAGAGAGAGAGAGAGAGAGAGAGAGAGAACGGGGGGGAGAGGAGAGGAAGGGGAAACAAACAGAGGGAGGGGAGGGTACACATGTTTCAACACAACGCACAATTGGACAGGCCGACACCAGCTGCACCTGCATGGGGGGTCGACAGATGGAGGGAGGGGAGGGAGAGGCGCGGATGGTGTGGGTGGTGAAGGGGGGGGCAGGAGGAGTTGGTTTGGGTTTACGCTTGTTGATTGAAAGACCTGTCTGCAGCATGATTCCATGCAGCACACGCTCGCTTGGGCAAGCTGATACCAGCTGCACCTGCACGGGAATTCGATTTTTGAGTCGACTCAAAAATCGACTCACTACACGCTCGCTTGGGCAAGCCGATACTAGCTGCACCGTGATAAAAGTGTAGTTTTGAGACAAGGCTGATACCGATACTCACTTGAGACGTCTCAAAACTACACTTTAATCTCTTGGGCAAGCTGATACCAGCTGCACCTGCACGGGAATTGGATTAGAAAAATGGGGAAGGTAGGGGGAGCGGAAGGGGGGTGGGAGTGGAGAGGGGAAGGGAGTTGTCATAGGGTTTAGGGTTTCAGGATTAGGGTTTGAGACTTCAAAAACGAGGCTACAGGTTTGAAGCTTGAAGCTTGAGGCTTAGGGTTTCAGGGAAAATGGGGTAGTGGTTCGCAATTTAACCTGTGTAGGGATGGCAAAGAGTATGTTCTCACCACTCTCTCTGCTGTCCTATGATCCATCATCTCCGTTTTGAGTGGGGAGGAGTCCACCACGTGGCAGTGCTGCTGGCTCGATGAAAGAGGAAAGGCAGTAAGCAAGCACTGGCCTATACGGTGTCACACACTCACCACTCTCTCTGCCGTTCTATGATCCATCATCTCCGTTCTCAGTGGGGAGGAGATGAGTCCACGTGGCCATGTTGCTGGATTGTTTCACACTCACCACCCTCTCTGCTGTTCTATGATCCATCATCTCCGTTTGCAGAAGGGACGAATCCACGTGGCAGTGCTGGCACGCCTGGTTGCAGTACATACTTCAAGCTTGGGGCTTAGGGTTTGGGGCTTGCAACGCATTCCATTCCAGCACTCACCACTCTTTCCGCTGTTCTGTGATCCATCATCTCTGTTCTCAGTGGGGAGGAGTCCACGTGGCAGTGCTGGCACGCCTGGTTGGTTGCAGTAGAGGCTTCAAGCTTGGGGCTTAGGGTTTGATAGTTGCATTGCAACACATTACATTCTAGCACTCACCACTCTCTCTGCTGTTCAGTGATCCATCATCTCCGTTCTCAGAGGGGAGGAGTCCACGTGGCAGTGCTGGCACAACTGGTTGGTTGCAGTAGAGGCTAGCTGGGGCTTAGGGTTTCAATGCTGGCTGGGGATAGGAAGGTCACTCACCACCCTCTCTGCAGTTCTGTGGTCCATCATCTCGGTTCTCAGAGGGGAGGAGTCCACATGGCAGTACTGGCACGCCTGGTTGCAGTACATGCTCCAAGCTGGGGGCTTTAGGGTTTGAGGCTTCGGGTTTCACTGCTGGTTGGGTTGGGTGTTGCACACTCACCACTCTCTCTGCCATTCTGTGATCAATCATCTCCGTTCTCAGAAGGGAGGAGTCCACGTGGCAGTGTTGGCACGCCTGGTTGCAGTACAGGCTTCAAGCTGGGGGCTTAGGGTTTGAGGCTTAAGGTTTGAGGCTTAGGGTTTGAGGCTTAGGGTTTGAAGCTTAGGGTTTCACTGCTGGTTGGGTTGGGTGTTGCACACTCACCACTCTCTCTGCTGTTTTATGGTCCATCATTTCAGTCCGCAGAGGCGAGGAGTCCACGTGGCAGTGCTGGCACGCCTGGCTGCAGTACAGGCTTCAAAAGGGGGCTTAGGGTTTGAGGCTTAGGGGTAAGGCTTAGGGTTTCACTGCTGGCTGGGTTGGGTGTTCTTACCACTCTCTCTGCCGTTTTATGGTCCATCATTTCTGTTCTTAGAGGCGAGGAGTCCACGTGGCAGTGCTGGCACGCCTGGTTGCAGTACAGCCCTATGTTGACCTGCACTGTTTCAACGACTCGACGAGTGAATGGCAGGGGCGTGCCCTGGGGAAGGGGGACGAGGGGAGGGACGGGGAGTGGAAGGGAGGGGAGAAGAAAGGGAAAGAGACAGGAGGAGAGTTGGCACGACTGGTTGCAGTAGAGCCCGATGTTGACTTGGACAGTCTCAATGACGCGACGGGTGAACGGGAGGGGCGTGCCCTGAGGGGAGAAGAAGGGGGAGGCAGGAAGGGAAGAAGAAAACGAGTGAATGGCAGGGGGGTGCCCTGAAGGGGGGGGAAGGGAAGGGACCGAGGGATACAGGCGAGTGATAGGCAGGCCTAGTTGCTGCAGTAGAGGCTGATGTTGACATGTACAGTGGCGATGACGTGGGGGATGTATAGCGGGGGCCCGGGGGGTTGCCCTGAGAGGAGGGGGGGATGAGGGGGAAAGGGGTGAGACGGTGGAGGAGAGCAGAGCGGAACAGAGTGTGAGAGGAGGGTGGAGACACGGAGTGAGAAGACGAGGGAGAAGAGGGGGGAGAGGGGGAAAAGTGGTGCTTTTGGGCGTGCATGAACTAAATGGTGCTGTGCATCCAGCACACAGAAACGAATGCAGACGGAGGGGAGGGAAGCAGCAGGAATGGGAGTGGGAGTGGGGTTGGGAGTGGGAGTGGGGGTGGGAGTGGGAGTGGGAGGGATGATGGTTGCAGTATCAAGCTGCACTCACATGATCTGCAATGTGCTCAAGAACTTAATGTTGCACTGTTTCGACCCTCGGGGGATGGCTGCACTGGGTCGACCCTCAGGGGATGGCTGCACTGGGTCGACCCTCAGGGGATGGCTGCACTGGGTCGACCCTCAGGGGATGGCTGCACTGGGTCGACCCTCAGGGGATGGGTGCACCGGGTCGACCCTCAGGGGATGGGTGCACTGAGTCGACCCTCAAGGGATGGGTGCACCGATCAACTCCCAAGCCTGCACTCACATGATTGGCGATGTGACGAAGGAACGACGGCTGAGATGCAAGCACGTCGTCGGCTGACCGAGCCTCCACTACAGGCTCGGACACGCACCGAACCGGCCTCGCCGGCCTGGCCCTGCCATTCCTCGAGCCAGCCTTCCGAACGTCCTTCGCAATGGGGAGGAGTGAGTGGAGCAGGAAACGGGGAAGTCAAAACGCTGAAGTGTAAACGGCTTGGGATGTCAAGGGACTTAAGATGGCTCGCTGACGGGGGAGAACGCTGATGGGGGAAAACCCTGATGGGGGAAAACGCTGATGGGGGAAATCGCTAATGGGGGAAAACGCTGATGGGGAAAACGCTTGGCCCCCTGTTGGTCGTGAGACAATTGATTGACTGAACATTATCTAATGGTGCCGAATTCCAGTGACTACGAGGATTGTTGAGGCGCCGAGAGAATATGACAGCCGCTCGACTTCTCTTTTAACCTAATGAAGCTGAAATCCAGTAACTACGAGACGGTTGCTGAGGTGCCTTGAAGAAAAGACAACGGCTAGACTGCTCATTGACCTAATGGAGCTGAATTCGAGTAACGGACTTACCGCGGCCCTACTGGGCAGGCAGCTCGCGACGTTTCGCGAAGATTTGCCGACGTGGTTACTGGCAGCGCAACGGTTATCAGACCAGTAACCAGAGCGGGCGAAGGAGATAGAGGACACTTGAGTGGTACACGCAGACATGATGGCGCGTCACGATCTAAGGAAATTATATTCCCTTGTCTGCGGGGACTCAAGGCCGACTGACTTCGCGAGAGCTCGTCGTAATGCAACAAGTGTTGTGAATGGCAAGCTCTTCACGTGCCACGCTACTGTACCACTCCAACCCCTTCCCCTCAAAACACCCTCGACACATTTTCCTAAGAACCCATCCAAACCACTCAACTCCTCCAAAGCCCATTCCAACCACCCAAGTTACAAACTTCCTTTTCCAACTCATCCACTCCAACTCAAGCCTATCAACCACCTCTTTAATTTCTCCCAACCACCATAGCCATTCCTAATCCAACTCAACTAAGACTTCAACAACTTTTTCTATTCACCTCCAAGTCCCACCACAAGGCACATGACTCCTCATGATTTTCCATGTGCTTTCTTTCCTTACTCACCAAATATTATCCAAGTCATCTACCTCCTCCAATATTCCTCCCTCCATGTGCCTTCAAGCACATGCTTCCAATTCCTAGTCATCAACCTCCACATGCCTCTAATTCATTCCTCCCTTCCTTCCTTTCCCAAGTCACCAAAGTCGCCAACTCATCTTTTGAGGATTCATGATTACCACATCACCTCCTCTTCCAAGACACCAAAGTTTTCCTATCCTCTCTATTCATTCCTTCACAAGTCACCCAAGTTCTCTTCCAACACTGCAAGGCCTACAACTCCAACTCAACAAGTGCTCAACCACCACCTCATGCTCTACTACTATTCAACTCCAACAAGCATCTCTACAATTTCTCAAGAAGGTTCTTCAATGACAACAATGCCTCTCAAGCTTCTTCATCAAGCTCCTCTCCAAGCTCATTCCAAGCTTCTCCTTCAAGCTCCTCTTCAACTACAAAGGCTCCTCACTAGCAACCAAGTTTCTATGTCTCCAAAGTTGATACTCTCATACTACTCTCTTCCAAGGCTACCATTGATGGTTACTCTCTCTATGCATGCCTATGTATCCTTCATGGATTTATAAGGCTTGTACTACACTCTCTTTAATATAAGTTTATGCTCATAAGGCTCTTTCTCACATAGTCTACAAAGTAGTTATCAAGTGAAGAGTAGTCTACCTCATACTCCTTAAGAGTATAAGGAAGCTACAAGCTCCAAGCTCAAGTAAACCATACAAGTTCAAGTTCTTCTTTCAAGTTACTTCTACAACTATCCCTAGTAAGATTCACTCAAGTAAGTGTTTATCACCGCTCTTATTTCTTTCAACGAGCTCACACTCTTCTTCTCCTCTAAGTTCTTATCTCATCAAGCATTTCATCTTACACAAGTTTCTCTATATAGTCACAAGTTCTAAGCATCATCTTCTCTTCCATCAAGCTCATCTACATATGCTACAGTTCCACTGTTCACTCTTGTCTTATTCTAGTGTGCAATCATACTCTTTTGTCTTTATCTCAATTCTCTACTGGTATCAGAGCAACTTATCTCCTCGCTTTCGCTAGTGTCCTCTTAACAAGAGCTTTATACTCTCTCTCCATGACTCCCACTCCCAAGGGCTTTAAGCCAAAGAGTGCCACTTCGCAAGGAGAATCAAGCTCCTCCGAAACATAGGAGGAAAAGACACCTCATCATCTCCTACTCTTCCCTCTCCTATTTACACCCAAATGTCTACCCCCTCTTCTTTAACTCCCAAGCTAGAAGTGCCACGGTTCAATGGAAAGGATTTCCAAGCGTGGCGAAATCGCTTCCAATTGGCCTCCACTCTCCTAGAGTGGTGGCCCGTTTACTCTGGTTCTCTCTCTCCTCCTACCTCCGAAGCCCCTCCCACAGAGCAAACCGCATGGATCAAGAAGAACGCCGAAGCGTACCTCTACCTCCTCAACTCCGTCCAAGACCAATACGCCAAGTCATTGCTCACGTGCGTGAGTCATCCCGACAGTGCAAAGCGCACATGGGAGAGGCTCACAAGGCTTCATCAACCTCGCACCGAGAGCACCAAGGCGGAAATGTGGGGCAAGATCTCCAACCTACGGATGGAGCAAAAGGAGACGATTCCCGAGTACTTGGAGCGCGCGGAGATTCTACTCAACGATGCCGACGTCATCGAAGTCACTGTTCCCGAGGAGCTCTTCATCACCATTCTCCTCGCGGGGCTCTCACCGGAGTGGATTGAAATGCGGAGCACGATTCAAGCGTTTCCCGAGAAGCAAAAGACGCGAGACTTCATCTTCAACACCCTCATCAACGAACATCAAACGCGCGAGCTTGCCATGGCAAAGGAGGAGAACAACAAACCCGCATGGTCGGTCGCCGTCTCTACTCAAGGTCACGGCAACAGCAACAACAACAACTACAACAACAACAACAAAGGCAAGAACCAACGACAAGCAAGTAAGTCCTCTAACCCATCTCTTCTTGGTCGCTACCCGTCATCAAGTTCCTCATCCAATCAACACTTCTTATCTAATCCCTCTCAACCCGCTAAGCCCCAATCCGGGAAGTTCAACTTCACTTGTCATTATTGTCATTAGTGGGGACATCCATGGTTTAAGTGCCCTCGTAAACCTCCCAATTGGACCCCTCCTCCTCATCTTCTTACCGCCAAGGGCCGAGCCGCCCTATCATATGCAGTAAGCTCTCGCAATGAGCCACATCAATCCCCTTTACCTCAACCTCAATCATCCCAATTCTACCCAAGTCAACCCTACCCCTTTCCCTATTACCCCATGCAACCAATGCCCTTGTTTTACCCTTCTCCACAACAAGGCTTTACGCCTTCGTTACCTCAAGCACCCCATGTCTCTCCCTCCAACTCTATACCCACTTCTTCTTCCCAAAGCACCCCACAGGGCATAAGTTTTGCCATGACTTCATCCGCGCCCACATCGACGTTCGATCCCGACTTTTGGTACCTCGATAGTGGGTGCGATCAACACATGACTCCCAACCCTTCGCTCTTGCACTCTCTCACCACCACAGGAGTCAAGTCCGTCACCGTCGCAAACAAGGAGTCAACTCCTACCGCGGGAGAAGGCATTCTCACCTTTCTCAACCCCACCGGCAAGCCGGTCTCCATCTCAGGTGTCCTCCTCGTTCCCAACCTTGGAGCCAACCTATTGTCGGTTGGACAACTCGAGGAGAAAGACTGCATATTTTCCTTCGAAAGTGGTACCGTGCAGATACGCTACCAGGGACTCCTCATTGCACGTGGCGAGCGAGTTGGTCGTCTCTACCGCCTCAAGCTCGACGTGAACCCGGAGTATCGTCGACTCCATGGCTACACTGCCGCCGCATCAACTACTATCAAGCCTCACCCAGGTACGGCTACCACACCCTACATTTGGCATTGTCGCTTGGGTCACCCTGGAGCATCAACCACAAAGTCTATCACCGCACATGCAAGTCTTGAAGGTCTTCGCATCACCTCAAGTCCCGAGTCCTCCTCTTCACTTTCTCCATGCCCTTCATGCGTCGAAGCCAAGCACGCACATCATCCTCACCCCCCAGTCAACATTCAAGTCTCAAGTCCTCTTGACCTCGTTCATAGTGACATCATTGGTCCGACTCGCACGCTCAGTCGTACGGGCAAGCGGTTCATCATGACCCTCATCGATCATAAGACACGTTTTGCATGGGTCTTCCTTCTTGAGTCCAAAGACCTTGTTCCCGAAGCATTCAAAGTGTGGCATGAACACATCAAGAACACAACCGGCCTTCAAGTCAAGACTCTGCACTCGGACAGAGGGGGAGAATACATGAGTAAGTCATTTCGCAATCACCTCTCATCCATTGGCATTGCACAAGAGTTTTCATGCCCCTACACCCCTCAGCAGAACGGCATCGCCGAAAGGTTCAACCGCACTTTGCAGGAAATTGCAAGATCTCTTCTCTTGC